AGAGACAGCGAGAGAGGGAACACAAGCAGGGGGAGTGGGAGAGGGAGAAGCAGGCTTCCCGCTGAGCAGGGAGTCCGACGCGGGGCTCAATCCCAGAACCCTGGGATCATGACCTGAGCCGAAGGCAGACACTTAACCGACTGAGCCACCCAGGCGCCCCAAGGATGCTGTTTCTGAAAATGTGATACTAAACCATACAATTTCCCCTTAAGTTTTCCTTAATGTTTAACTTTTAACACAGTTCTGTGCATAAGAAATACTAAAAATTAGTATTGTTGATACAGTTAGTATTGACGATTTAAATCCCAGTCTCATTTCATGTAGATGCAGTCATCAGAAGCCTGGCTGATAGTTAAAAGTGCTCCAGGACCTGCTTGCTTAGGGTTGTGTTTGGCAACAAAACATGCCCCGAGCTGTTGAGCAGTCACATAACTTTATGTAAGAGGTCCATTCTGTGATGGTGTTAGCGAAGGTACAGAGTGTTAGGGCTCCAGGAGCCAGTTGTCCGAGCTGGCCCTCTATTGCCTCCCTCTCTGCAGGCATCATTTATCGCCAAGTGCCTGTTTTATGGGCGCCTGCAGAATTAGCACGGAGAAAAGCAATTTGCCTGTTTTCATTCCACTTACTCCTAGGGCATTTGCTGGGAGCAATGTTTGGAAGCTTTGCTAAAATGGAACAGATTCATTTGCGCGCACACTAAAAACCGGACAGAGCATAGATAATACTCAGAAATGGATCCTCTGAAAAGACCGAAGCATTATTTTATAGATTCTAGTTGTGAGTTGTTTTCATTATCTGTCTCCAGCTGCTTGTGTTGTGTCTCACTGTCCGGACATCAGAAAGCATGTCAGTCTGTGTACTTTAGTAGCCGCAGTGCCCAGCTGGGCATGGGTGGACATGTGGTGGGCTTCATTAACATTTGTTGAATGCGTAAATGGAAAACAATGTGTGAAAAAGTAAATATTTGAATAAACGAATGGTAGAGTAAAAAGTCCTTACAAACTATGTTGATGTGAGCTATGTTTGCTTATAAAAATCCTGACATTCTACTAGAGGTTCACATTCTTTCTGAGATTTATTAGCAAACTTTTGGAATTATCATTGTGGAATGACTTTTATAGACAGTTAGTGCTAACCCTACTGCTACATTATTATTTTGTTTATAAGCTACCAAACACCATATGATTATTCTACGGACCAAGTACACTTACTGCCCAACAACTGCGTGCTAAGCGGAAGCATCTGAGTAAGGTACCTCCTGCACTGAACCGTACAGAGTGCTGAATTATACTTGTAGAGGTGCATATCTTTTCACATGATAGACCCCAAGTTGCTTTTTAATTTGGTGTATCCCACAACCCAGAGTGCTGATGTATATTGTCTGGCCTGCTTCCAGCTTTACATATAGGATTAACCTAGACTGTGGTTATTCTTTGTATTGGTTTCCTATTGTTGCTGCAACAAATTAGCACAAACTTCGTGACTTAAAACAACACAAATGTATTATCTCACATTTCTTTGGGTCACATGTCCCAACCCTTGGTTGGTTTCTTGGTGTTGGGTCTCACAAGGCCAGGATCAAAGTGTTGGCTGACTGGCCTCTTATCTGAAGGCTCTGGGAAGAATCTGCTTCTGAGTTCATGCAGAATCTAGTTCCTTGTGGTTGCAGGACCGAGGTCCTTGTTTCGTTGCCTGCTGGAGCATTCTTAGCTTCTGGAGGCTTCTCTCCTATTCTTGCATTTGGCCCTTGTGTTGTCTCAGAGTGACCAGCAATGTATTAAATCCTTCTCTCCCTTGGAATCTCTGACTGCCTCTTCTGCCACATCTGTCTGACTCCAGCTGGGGAAATTTTTCTGCTTTTAGGGCTCATGTGATTAGAGTGGGTCCACCCAGATAATCTAGGATAATTCCTTATTTCAAATACACCACTTAATTATATCTGCGGAGTCCCTTTTGCCACATAACATGGCATAGTCACGGATTCCAGGGATCCGGGTGTGGACATCTCTGGCGGGCTGTTCGTACCACACTATGACTACATCACTGTTTTCTCTGCATGCTGCACGTTCACCCCTGCTTGATGGTTCATTAGAGGCTAAGGAATCGAAATGGTTTGCTACCCTTTTGGAATAGTCTTCTCTCCTTTCTTCCATCAGTGTATGTGCCTCAGCTGCTCTTGATGTCACTTCTGATTGCTTCTGCTTCTGAGCGTCCCACCTATTTCCACCATCTCTGCTGCCTGCAACGCTCACCTTTTCATGGTTTCTTCTTTCTCCTGCCATGCTTTTCTTATTGCTCCTCTATTCCTCAGAAGTTTGTTTTTTATAGCTAGTGCCAATCACTGGGAACAGTCTCCGGATTAATGGACCGACTGTGATTCTTTTTTGAGTGTTTCTTCTGACTCTCTAAGAGTTGGAGCTTCATTGCCCTTGTCCGCTCATAACCAGCCTACCTGACCGCACGCCTTTGATGTTTAGTGCTGACTTGAATAATTAACATTGTGACAGATAGGGAGGTAAATGAAGCGCCACTGTACTTTCGCTTTGGCCAGGAAGAAATTTTTTTCCCTGCTATAGATGTTACCACCCCCCCCTTCAATTTTCAGATGTTATGTACAAATAACAGATTTGTGTGTGTCTAAGGCTAAGTTGTATTACGTGCTACTTGTGTTGTATCATGGCTTTGTGTGTTACATTTAGCCAATAGAGCGAGAAAGACATTTTTTAAAGTCCAGAAATTCAGAACCATTGTCTCTTCAAATGTTGTTTCTGCCCTAAAATCATCCCATTTCTAGCATTGCTTATTGAATATATCTTCAGTTGATGGACATTTAGGTTGTTAACATTTAACATACATATAAACAATGCTGTGATGAACATCTGTGCCCAAATCCAGTATTATTTCATTTGGATAAATTCCTGCAAGTGCAATTATTGGGTTAAAGTGTATATACATTTTTGATGCTTCTGGTAATATTGCCAAATTGCTTTCTAGAACATTTGTACATTCTCTTAAGCAGATTGTGTCAGTTCTTTTCCTATCCCTTTAGTAAATTTTACACTTTAAGATGCCATGAATCATGCTCAAAATACCATAAGTCCCAAACCATGTTTATGTTCACATGGTTGTTTTAAAGGTTTTCATCCTCAGGGATTGAAGACTGATGTTTTTCCCTTGAAAAGCAACTTTTCATTTCATCATTTAATTAATAGAAAATTTGTAGAGAAGCTGCAAAGGAACAGAATTTAGGTTTCAGTCACATTGCTTATTTCTTTTTATTTAAAAAATCATTTAAACAAAGAATTTTAGATACCCTTAATTTGAAGCTGAGAAAATTAGAGGCCTAGCACCATGACTTAATATTTACTTATTTATTTTTTTAAAAGATTTTATTTATTTGAGAGAGTATGAGTGGGTGGGAAAGGGGGTGGAGGGAGAGGGAGAAGCATACTCCCCACTGAGCAGGGAGCCCTTCATGGAGCTCGATCCCAGGATCCTGAGATCATGACCTGAGCCAAAGGCAGACGCGTAACTGACTGAGCCACCCAGGCGCACCCTCCCCATGACTTAATATTTAAAAAGAAAGTTGACTCAAAGCAGTCTAATGGTTATTGATTACAGACTTGCAGTCTTTGAATTTTAATTGTTGCTGTATATATTCAGTTTGCATAGGATTAGGAAAGTGGTTATTGTTCTCCTAATATTAAATGTGTTTAAATTACTATACTTCTGTTTTTTTTCTTTAAAGGGGAAAAGCCTCCATCATACCCAGAATGATCATTTCCAGAATGATGGAATTGGTAAGTGGAAAATTAGCTCTGAGATAACTTGCTTTTATTGTATAAGAGATTTAACCCCAAACTTCATCACTAGAAAGAGGAGGATGGGGAGGAGGCGGGGACACACACACACACACACACACACACACACACTCTCTCTCTCACTTTGGAACTCACTTAACTCTTTTATTCAACACATCTGGTCTTGTGAATTCTCTTATGCTGTTTCTGAAAACAGGTGATTTATATCTAGAAGTTTTGAGGAAAAACATTTAATTAAGCCCATGCAACAAGAGTTTTTGGAAAATATATTCTACAAATGTTGGGTCATTGAAATTTCAAGATGAAGTTTATTTAAACGATTTAAAATATTACAAATTGTGCTTTTAAAATAATAATTGCTTAACCTTCATTTTGTTTGTGGCTATATTACAGTTGTAAGCCAAAACTTAATTGTGAAGGATTGTATTTATTTTCCTAGTCTTAGAAGAATGTTTACTGAGTGTGTATGGTTTTCTCTCTTGAAAGACACACCTCTAGCTTCTTGGAAGACATTTACAGTTATACTAGTTTACAAAAGGAATACTTTGTATATCTCAAGCTAATTTTAGGGAACATTGTAAAATGGTTATGTGTTTTTAATATGCTTTGCTCTTCCACATTGGTATTTCTTTGATTATAAGATATCGTAGGGAAGACCTGGGAAATGTATTTTGCTGTTGGTGATTTAAATTATTCTTGTCTAGAGGAATGTGTACAACTACTGAGTGCACCCTCTCTCTTTATTTTTCAGTTCAGCCCAATCCTTCTGTACTTATTGGCAATCCTATTAGAGCATATACTCCTCCACCACCTCTTGGACCTCACCCAAATTTGGGGAAATCTCCAAGCCCTGTTCAAAGAATAGATCCTCACACTGGGACAAGTATTCTTTACGTACCTGCTGTCTATGGAGGGAATGTAGTTATGTCGGTGCCTTTACCTGTAAGTGGACATTTGAGATACTTTCTATTGAATAAAATAAAATAGGTTTCATTAAATTAGTAACTATCCCAAATAGTGTTGTACCTTTTTTTAAAAAATTTTTCGGTGCCTGTAAGCTTTTATAGCAGCTCTTCCTTTAACCTTCAAATTTTGAAATGACCAAAGAAATACGAATTGTTGCTTACAATTTGTTACTAGATTATCAATGGCTATGAAGAAATCTGTAAATTGGATGTTTTGATTGAGAAGCCTTTGTATTCTTTTAAAATATTTTTACTGGGAAAATTGAGCTGAAAGTTAACATAGCTATAAATTGTTCTCTTGTTTTATAAAGTGATGCTCTGTTTTATCTTTTACTTTTTTATTCTTACATAATTCATTAACCTTTCCTAAGAAATATAGTTTTTTGGAGGAGGCAAAGAAGCTCTCTGGATCTGTGAATTTTTGTGAGAAATTTCACTCCTTATGAAATCTTACTGGTACTTAAAAACATTATTAAATCCTTTCTAAGACAATAGATATTTAGAGGGCTTCCATCTTGTGTATAGCCCATTTTTATTCCTTTAAGATTCTTTAATATTTTGGTAATTTTGTTAATTTGCTTATATAATAATATTTCCAAATTCAGGAATTTTAGCCTAGAAAACATATCTTTCATTTAAGGCAAGTATTATAATTTCAGGCAGAGGTGATTACTGCCAGGGATTTTTGGCACCTCCCACCACCAAAATGGAAAAATGCCTAGCTGTATAAACCTTTCTCAGCCATATTGATCACGATAGTTTACAATTACAGCAGCCAATGAGAATAACTGTCAGTAAGAAATATGTAATTCATGCCCACTCCCCATAGCTGACTTATTTCTTCCCAGACAGCCTGGCAACATTATACATCATTTGCTTTAAATAGTAAGTCCTTTAGGATTTATATTTCATTTTACTAGGTCAAAGAGGCTTTTATTATATAAGATTTTTTTAGGAGTCTGCATTTAACAGTTATATTACAGTAAGAGGGGCAGTAGCTTAGATGTCATTGTATTTATCCTTTTATGTTAGTACGCAGAGATTATATGTTTAGATAACACCTAAAGAAATGTTCTATTTCTGTGGTTTAAGGGAAGAGTTGAATTAATCAAAAGCATTAATTAAACTAATAGCCTGTTTGAATTTTCCCTGCAGTAAATGGACATGAAATGATTGGGTTATTCATGTAAAGTTGGAATATGTATATTTTGTGTCGAGACTCCTTAGACTAAATTCTTTCTTAATTTTCCCCCTGTTCTCTCATTTAGTCTATTAAACTATGTAACTATGCAGTTATAATTTAAAAGATAATTTCCTTGGTAACCTATGACATGTATACATTCATATTGGGGGGAAATGATTCAAGATTATAAAATGATGTAATGTGTCAAGGAATAATTATCAGTTTTAAGTCCTCAGTTTCTTCCAAACCTGAAAAACGATCAATTTTCCCTACACACTAAAGATTCAGGAAGCCAGTTTTCTTTTTTAAAGAAGCCAGTTTTTGACCAGTTAAGATGTAGCAGTAATTCTGCCAATTGTTACAATTAGCATTGACTTTGTAGTTATTCATTTTGATAAAATTAACATCTCTCTGTGTGTGTTTGCTCTTTCCTAATCAACAGCACTATGGCAGCTTGCCTTTCAAAATGCACGTAATGCAGTTATTTTATTTCTTGTACTAACCTAGGTACCATGGACAGGGTACCAGGGCAGATTTGCAGTCGATCCTCGGATCCTTACACACCAGGCAGCGATGGCCTACAATATGAACCTCTTACAGACACACGGACGGGGGTCTCCCATACCATATGGCCTTGGGCACCACCCGCCTGTCAGCATAGGGCAGCCACAAAACCCTCATCAGGAGAAGGAGCAGCATGAGCCAAGTCGAAATGGTGAGCTGCTTCACTGTTCTCATGTTCCTGAATTGATGATATGCCTGTTTGTATCAACATATAAAGTTCTTTTAACAGTATGATTATTTTTTTTAAAAGATTTTATTTATTTATTTATTTATTTATTTATAGAAAGCATAGGGAGGGGCAGAGGGAGAGGGAGAGAATCTCAAGCAGACTCCCCGCTGAGCAAGGAGCCCAACATGGGGCTCGATCTCACGACTCAGACCATGACCTGAGCCGAAACCAAAGAGTTGGTCGCTCAGCTGACTGAGCCACCTAGGTGGCCAATATTTAGAGTGTTTTAAATGATAGTTCTTTAAAATTGAGCTGGAAAATCCTCTCCTGTTAAACATTTTTATTGACCCAAATTATTTTTGTGCTGTACTAAACATGAATGCTACTCTTGATTTAAAGTAGTTCTTATGTAAATCACAATCTCCTGTCTACTTGAATTATAAATAAGGAAAAATTACCCAGTCTGCTTTTTAAAGTCAGGTTTATTGAGGTATAATTTATATACAGTAAAATTCACTTTTAAAACATATAGTTGATGTGTTTTGACAAATACAGAGAGTTGTTCACCACCATCAGAATCAAGATATAGGATATTTCCATAACTCACAGTGTTCCCTCATATCCCTTTGTGGTCTGCCTTCACCAACCCCCGGCCCTGGGCAACCACTAATCGGGAGTTTTGTCTCTAGTATGTCATGTAAATGGAATCACAGAGTATAGAGTTTGGTGTGTCCAGCTTCATTCACATAACTTAATGCTTTTGAGATTCATTCATGTTGTCTGTGTCAGTAGTTCCTTCCTTTTTACTGTTGATTAGTATTCTATTATGTGGATGCACCACAATGTTTCTATCTACCCATCATTTGATGGTCACCTTAGTTATTTCTATAATTTTTGGCTCTTCTGAATAAAGTTGCTGTGAACATATGTGTGAACATATGTTTTCATTTCTCTAGAGTGTATTCCCAGGAGTAAGATTGCTGAGCATATTATAAATACATAGGTGACTTTATAAGAAACTGCCACGCTGTTTTCCAAAGTGGTGATCCATTTTCCATTTCAGCTAGTAACGTATGAGATTTCTAGCTGTTCCACATTCTCATCAGCACTTAGTGTTGTCATTCTTTTTAATTTTACCCTTGCTAGTGGGTATGTGATAGTGTCTGATCATAGTATTAGTTTGCATGTTCCTGATGACTAATAATGTTGAATATCTTTTCATTGGGCTTACTTGCCCTCTGTATATCTTTCATGAAGTGTCTATTCATATTTTGCCCACTTTTTTTATTAGTGTGTTTTATGAAGTTATAAGAGTTCTTTATACCTTCTGGATACAAATCTTTAATTAGATACATGTTTTGAAAATATTTTCTCCCGGGATATGGCTTGCCTTTTCATTAGCAGTATCTTTCAAAAAGTAGAAGTTTCTACTTTTGATAAAATTCAGTTTATCCATTTTTTTCTTTGAGTCATGTTTTTGGTGTGGTGTCTAAATTTCGTTGACTGATCCAAGATCACAAAGCTCTGTGTTTTTTTCCCTAGAAATTTCATAGTTTTAGCTCTCACATTAGGTCCATTTTGAGTTAAGTTTTATATGTGGTGTGAGGTGAGAATTCAGATGGTTTTTTTGTTTGTTTCTGTATGTATGTATGTGTGTATATATATATATATAGCAACATTTGTTGAAAACACTGTCCTTCCTCCATTAAACGTAGTGCCTTTGTTGAAAATCGATTGACTGCATATATGAAGTCTCTGTTCTGTTCTGTTGATGCACGTGTTTATGTGTATGCCAGATGTGCTGTCTTGATTCCTGTAGCTTTATGAAAGTCTTGACATCAGGTACTATGAGTTTTCCAACTTTGTTCTTTTTTCAAAACGGTCTATTCCAGGTCCTTTGCATTTCCATGTACATTTTAGAATCAGCTTCTCAGTTTCTACAAAAAACCCTCCTGGGATTTGGATTGGGATTGTGTTGATTTGTAGATCAATTTAGGGAGGATTGACATCTTAACAGTTTTGAGTGCCCCGCCCTCTTTTTAAAAGTTTTCAGTATACGACTCTTGCACAAACTTTGTTAGAGTGAAAGCTTAAATTAATATAGGTATTCAGTGTTACAGTTTTCCTCCTCAGTAGTGCATCCCACAAATTCTGATGTATTTTCATTTCATTCAGTTGAGTACGCTTTCTAATTTCACTTGAAATTAGGTCCATGGAATATTTAGAAAGGGAAGTTTTAGTTTCTAGTTATTAGCGATCTTCTAAGAATTTTTATGTTACTGATTTCTACATTAATTCCATTGTGGTAAGAAAACATATTTTGTATGACTCAAACTCTTTTGAATTTATTGAGATTTGTTTTATGGTCCAGAATATGGTGTATCTTTGCAAATGTTCCATGTTCACTTGAAAAGAATGGAGTGTTCTATAAATGTTACTTAGATCAAGTTGATTGATAGAATTGTGCACAACTACTGTATTCTTGCTGATTTTCTACTTTTTAAAAAATATGTATTGAGAGGAGAATATTGAAATCTCCAAATACAATTGGCATTTGTCTATTTTTCCTTAAGAAGTTTTGCTTGATTAATTTTGAAGTTCTGTTATGAGGAGCATCAACATTTAGGATTATGTGTTCTTGATTAATTAACTCTTGTGAATTTAGAATGACTTCCTTTATCCCTGGTAATAGTCTTTGCTCTGTGATCTACTTTGCTTAGTATCTAATGTAATCACTTTAGCTTTCTTTTGACTAGTGGTGGCATGGTGTATCTTTTTTTACCCTTTTTTCTTTCTTTCTTTTTTTTTTTTTTACCTATTACTGTTAATCTCTTGGTGTCTTTATAAAGTGCATTTCTTGGGGCACCTGGGTGGTTCAGTCGGTTAAACATCTGACTCTTGATTTTGGCTCAGGTCATGATCTCAGGGTTGTGGGATCGAGCCCTGCTCGGGCTCTGCGCTCAGCTCAGAGCCTGCTTGAGATTCTCTTTTTCCCTCTCCATTTGCCTCTTCTCTCGTGCATGCTCTTTCTGTCTCTCTCATATACATAAAATCTTTAAAATGCATTTATTTTATTTTATTTGTTTTTTAAAAGATTTACTTATTTGGGAGAGAGGGAGGTGGGGGAGGGACAGAGATTGGGAGAGAGAGAGAGAGAGAGAATCCTAAGAAGATTCCCTGCTGAGCTTGGAGCCCTATGTGGGGCTCAATCCCACAATCCTGAGATCCTGAGATAATGACCTGAGCCA